AATTTCACGTGTAAATGGGGGCCAAACTATAGGGCCTGGTTCACACCAACACACTGCAGTTTGGGCGCAGCGCGATTAGATTTGAGGTTTACACACAGCTTTAGTTGCACTCCCACTGACTTCTATTAGAGCGTGCATTTTCTGAAAGTGAAAACATACAGAACTCTGGTGAACGTTCATGAAACAGTGCGGTCTAATAGAAGTCAATAGGAGCGCACCTAAAACCACGTGTAAAAAGGCAGAGAAATCACGCTGCACCCAAACCGCAGCACACCGGTGTGAACACAGCTTTAGAGAACAAAACTTTATAAAAGAAAAGCAGAATACACAACCTCTGAATGTGCCGATATAAACGTACGAGGATTTACATTACACACACAACAGAAAAGGCCAGGTGAGATCGACTTGATATTTATAGGAATTAGACCACCAAGCGGCTTTCATTGGTTGTATATTGTACTGGTCCTTGTACATGCGTTCATGTTCTCTCATCCTTCAGCCCTGATGAAGGGAGGGTTGTGAGCCCCTAAAAGATGTTGGATGTATCTTCTTACAAACTTCATACAATCCTGTGTAGGTTTTTTGTACGCCTCTTTGTAGAATGCGATTCCTACCTGCCCTCTGATAGTTGGGGGAAGATAAAACACGGAATTTGGAACCTCAATGGGGACTGTGATGGGAGCCATAAGAATGTGTTGTTGACAATACTGGGGGAGGGGTATACCTTTTGGTTATCAACACTGTTGCCCTCTCCAGATAAAGATCTCCTAGAATAGGGGTCACAAAACTACGGCCCTCCAGGTGTTGAGGAATTGCAAGTCCCATGAGGCCTTGCAAGACTAACAGCCACAGGCAAGACTCCCAGAGGCATGATGAGACTAGTAGTACTTCAACAGCTGGGGGGGTCATAGTTTGGAGACCCCTGCCCTAGAAGAATCCTCTCATCCTTTTAGAACTACCCCAGGGACCTTCCAAGATATCCTGGAGGACAGCTGCCTATAAACTGCAAACCTAGCCAACTTTTCACCCATGATGCGTACAGGAAGAGAGAACGGTCATTGTGAAACATTGTTCCAGCTTACCAATGTATATAAATATCAGCCCCCCCCATTCATCCAACTCTCAGCTGGGAGCCATGTCCCTGCTTCCTCCATCAGTCGTCATGCTTCTCGACTCTAAGCTGAGAGTGGTCACCCCATGTCCTCCGGCAGCATGCTGCCAGCTGGGAGCCATGTCCCCACTCCTCGTTATCAGCTGCATGTTTTGTCAGAGAGAGTGGTCACCCCGTGTCCTCAGCAGCCATGCTGTCCCCACTCTCAGCTGGGAGCCATGTCCCAATTCCTCTATCAGCTGTCATGTTTGTCAACTCTAAGCTGAGTGTGGTCACCCCGTGTCCTCCGGCAGCAGCCATGCTGCCCAACTCTCAGCTGGGAGCCATGTCCCCACTCCCGTTGTATCTAAGCTGAGATGTGTCATGTTTGTCAACTCTCAGCTGGGAGCCATGTCCCCACTCCTGTTATCAGCTGTCATGTTTGTCAACTCTAAGCTGAGTGTGGTCACCCCGTGTCCTCCAGTAGTAGCCATGCTGCCTGACTCTCAGTTAATCTGTGTCTCCAGTTCCACTATGCTGACTGACTCAGTCAAGTAAAGTTTCCACTTCCTCCAACCAGCTGACCTCCTGCCCGACTCTCACCTGAGAATCATGCCCCTGCATCCTCTAACCAGTCGGCCTGATGAAGCCAAGAGTCATGTGACCGCATCCTTTAACCAGCTACCATGTTGTCCGACACCCACATGCTCTAACCAGCCACTATGCTGTCCAAATCGCACCTGAGAGTCACGTCCCTGCATACCCTAATCAGCCAGCATACCTGCTTCCTCTCAGCAGCCAGACTGCCCGACTCGCAGCTTAGAGTCATCTCCCCACGTCATCTAACCCCACTGCCCGACTTCTCAGCTGAGCTGTGCCCCTGCATGCCTTTAACCAGCTACCATGCTGTCTGACTGTGAGCTGAGAATCACACCCTCTTATACCCCCCTTCCTGTAATCTGCCACTGTGCTGTCCAGCTCTCACCTGAGAGTCGTGTCCATGCATCAAAGCTATCCAACTCTCAACTGAGACCTGTGTCCCCACTTCCTCCAGTCAGCCACTACGCTGCCCAAATCTCACCTGAGAGTCATGTCCTTGCATACTCTAACCTGCTGCAATGCTGCCCAACTCTTAGAGCCGTGCCCTCACTTTGTCCGATAAGCCACTATGCTACCCAACTCTCAGCTGAGAGTCGTCTCCTTTTTTTCCCCATCCTGTAGCCAAGTTAGGTCCCCACTTCCTCTGATTGTCCATTATGCCAATTGACTCTCACCTGGGAGTTGTGCCCCCCCCCCCCCTAATTGGCCATCATGCTGCTCGACTCTCAGCTCAATCACTTCCCCCTTCCTGTAATCAGCCGCAGTGCCGCCCATTTATCCATCCCCCACACTGTCCGACTCTCAGCTGAGCCCCATGTCCCTGCAATCCCTAACCAGCCACCATGCTGTCCGACTCTCAGCTGAGCCCCACATCCCTGTATCCCCCAAACAGCCACCATGCTGTCCGACTCTCAGCTGAGCCCCACACCCCTGTATCCCCCAAACAGCCACCATGCTGTCCGACTCTCAGCTGAGCCCCGCATCCCTGCATATCCCAGAAAGCCACCATGCTGTCCGACTCTCAGCTGAGCCCCGCGTCCCTGCATATCCCAGAAAGCCACCATGCTGTCCGACTCTCAGCTGAGCCCCACGTCCCTGTATCCCCCAAACAGCCACCATGCTGTCCGACTCTCAGCTGAGCCACACCCCTGTATCCCCCAAACAGCCACCATGCTGTCCGACTCTCAGCTGAGCCCCGCGTCCCTGCATATCCCAGAAAGCCACCATGCTGTCCGACTCTCAGCTGAGCCTCGCGTCCCTGCCTCTACCAGACAGCCACCATGCTGTCCGACTCTCAGCTGAGCCCCGCGTCCGCGCATACCCCAGACAGCCACCATGCTGACTCTCAGCTGAGCCCTGCGTCCCTGCATATCCCAGAAAGCCACCATGCTGTCCGACTCTCAGCTGAGCCCCGCGTCCCTGCATCTCCAAAACAGCCACCATGCTGTCCGACTCTCAGCTGAGCCTTGTGTACCTACATCCCTCAAATAGCCACCATGCTGTCCGACTCTCAGCTGAGACCAATGTCCCTGCAATCCCTAACCAGCCACCATGCTGTCCGACTCTCCTGCCTGTTGCCCTATCCTCAGCTGACAGCTGTCTCTCAGCTTCCTCCAATAAGACACCATGCTGTCCGACTCTCAGCTGAGAGTCGTCCCCTCTTCCGCTACCCTGCCCGTTCCTCAGACAAGAGTCGTCCCCTCTTCCGCTACCCTGCCCGTTCCTCAGACGAGAGTCGTCCCCTCATCCGCTACCCTGCCCGTTCCTCAGACGAGAGTCGTCCCCTCATCCGCTACCCTGCCCGTTCCTCAGACGAGAGTCGTCCCCTCATCCGCTACCCCTGCCCGTTCCTCAGACGAGAGTCGTCCCCTCATCCGCTACCCTGCCCGTTCCTCAGACGAGAGTCGTCTCCCCATAGGATACCCTGCCCGTTCCTCAGACGAGAGTCGTCCCCTCATCCGCTACCCTGCCCGTTCCTCAGACGAGAGTCGTCCCCTCATCCGCTACCCTGCCCGTTCCTCAGACGAGAGTCGTCCCCTCATCCGCTACCCTGCCCGTTCCTCAGACGAGAGTCGTCCCCTCATCCGCTACCCTGCCCGTTCCTCGGACGAGAGTCGTCCCCTCATCCGCTACCCTGCCCGTTCCTCGGATGAGAGTCGTCCCCTCATCCGCTACCCTGCCCGTTCCTCAGACGAGAGTCGTCTCCCCATAGGATACCCTGCCCGTTCCTCAGACGAGAGTCGTCTCCCCATAGGATACCCTGCCCGTTCCTCAGACGAGAGTCGTCCCCTCATCCGCTACCCTGCTTGTTCCTCAGACAAGAGTCGTCCCCTCATCCGCTACCCTGCCCGTTCCTCAGACAAGAGTCGTCCCCTCATCCGCTACCCTGCCCGTTCCTCAGACGAGAGTCGTCTCCCCATAGGATACCCTGCCCGTTCCTCAGACGAGAGTCGTCTCCCCATAGGATACCCTGCCCGTTACTCAGATGAGAGTTGTGTCCCCACTACCTCCAATAAGACACCATGCTGCTCGCTCCTCAGATGAGTCGTCCCCCCTCATCTGTTATCTATCCTGACTGTTGCCCGATCCTCATTTGAGAGTCATCTCCCAGCTTTCTCCAATAAGACACCATGCTGTCCGACTCTCAGCTGAGAGTCGTCTCCTCTTCCTCCATTCAGCCACCATGCTGTCTGATCCCTACTGAAGGGTTGAGTCCCAGTTTCCTTTGGTAAACCACCATGCTGCCCGACTAAGCTGAGAGTCGTCTCAATGCAGTTCCCTCTATTATTCTGCTGATTGAAGCTGATCAAAGGGGCCGACTCCCCCATCCCCAGGGGCCCCTGATATCATTGTCCCCCCCCCCCCTCCCCAGGACTGAGCAGGCCCCCACTGCCCCCCATCCCCAGGACTGAGCAGGCCCCCGTTCCCCCCCGGGGCCAGGACTGAGCAGGCCCCCGTTCCCCCCCCGGGGCCAGGACTGAGCAGGCCCCCGTTCCCCCCCGGGGCCAGGACTGAGAGCAGGCCCCCAGGCCCCCCCCCGGGGCCAGGACTGAGCAGGCCCCCGTTCACCCCCGGGGCCAGGACTGAGCAGGCCCCCGTTCCCCCCCGTGTATCTGTTGGAGGACAATGTCAGTGTATGTGGAGTGGTCCGGTTCTGTCCATCCCCGGCCTCCCCCGGTGTTCCCGGCTCTCCGGGGATGTAGCAGGCCTCCCCTCCTCGCACACAATATGTGGCACACAATGCCGGCCGCACACATCCTCCTCCCTCCCCCTCTTCCCGGCCTCACAGCGCCCCCTCTCTCCTCCTCACCTGGCGGGCCCTCTGCACGGCATCGGCGAAGGCGTCCTTGCGGTTCCCGGTCTGGGCTCCGGGATAGTCGGACATGGCGGTGGAGGCAGCGGCTCCTCAGCGGGCTGAAGGCGCGAACAAGGCCGCGGCGCGCAGAGCACTCTGGGAAAGGAGGCAGAACGGCGAACCGATGAGCGAATAGCGATCCGACCAATGGCGGCGCGCCGAGAGGAGCCGGCCCACCAACCGCGAGAGGGGGCCGGGCCTGGGGCGGCCCAATAAGGAGGGAGCACCTTGCGTCGCAGGAGACAAAGACGAGAGGGAGGGAGACTAGTGATTGCCGCAAGAGCGGCCCAATAGGCGGGAAACGGGAGAGGAAGGGCTGGGGAGGACTACCAATGGACAGCTGGAATTACTGGGGGGGCGGGGCCGATACTGGTTTTATTCACTGAATTGGCTAAAGGGGGAATGATGGACAGCCGAAGGGGCCAACTAGGAGATTACCTGGAAATATTGAAGAAAATCCAATTCATTATCATTACAGTCTATTGTATGAGGGCCATTTACTAGAGGTGACTAGTGTAATCACAGAGGTGGGGACACAAAGCCCCAAAATATAATGATTGCTGAGTCCTGTGTAATGTCATAAAAATAACACCCTGTGTACCATCCTCATTACTAAGGAATGTCCGCAATGATCATAAAGATTCTAAACCGAATTCAGGAAATCGAGTCCAGGATTCTACCCCCTCACCTCACCCTTCAGTCTACTCCTCACCTCACCCTTCAGTCTCCTCCTCACTCCTTCAGTCTACCCCTCACCTCACCCTTCAGTCTACTCACCCTTCAGTCTCCTCCTCACCCCTTCAGTCTACTCCTCACCTCACCCTTCAGTCTACTCCTCACCCTTCAGTCTCCTCCACACCTCACCCTTCAGTCTCCTCACCTCACCTTTCAGTCTCCACCTCACCCCTTCATTCTACTCCTCACCTCACCCTTCAGTCTACTCCTCACCCTTCAGTCTCCTCCCACACCTCACCCTTCAGTCTCCTCACCTCACCTTTCAGTCTCCACCTCACCCCTTCATTCTACTCCTCACCTCACCCCTTCATTCTACTCCTCACCTCACCCCTTCATTCTACTCCTCACCCCTTCATTCTACTCCTCACCCTTCAGTCTCCACCTCACCCCTTCAGTCTACTCCTCACCTCACCCTTCAGTATCCTCCTCACCTCACCCTTCAGTCTCCTCCTCACCTCACCCTTCAGTTTCCTCCTCACCCCTTCAGTCTACCCCTCACCTCACCCTTCAGTCTACTCACCCTTCAGTCTCCTCCTCACCCCTTCAGTCTACTCCTCACCTCACCCTTCAGTCTACTCCTCACCCTTCAGTCTCCTCCACACCTCACCCTTCAGTCTCCTCACCTCACCTTTCAGTCTCCACCTCACCCCTTCATTCTACTCCTCACCTCACCCTTCAGTCTACTCCTCACCCTTCAGTCTCCTCCACACCTCACCCTTCAGTCTCCTCACCTCACCTTTCAGTCTCCATCTCACCCTTCATTCTACTCCTCACCTCACCCCTTCATTCTCCACCTCACCCCTTCATTCTACTCCTCACCCTTCAGTCTCCACCTCACCCCTTCAGTCTACTCCTCACCTCACCCTTCAGTATCCTCCTCACCTCACCCTTCAGTCTCCTCCTCACCTCACCCTTCAGTCTACTCCTCACCCTTCAGTCTCCTCCTCACCTCACCCCTTCAGTCCTCACCTCACCCTTCAGTCTCCTCACCTCACCCCTTCAGTCCTCACCTCACCCTTCAGTCTCCTCCTCACCTCACCCTTCAGTCTACTCCTCACCTCACCCTTCAGTCTCCTCCTCAACTCACCCCTTCAGTCTACTCCTCACCTCACCCTTCAGTCTACTCCTCACCTCACCCCTTCAGTCTCCTCCTCACCTCACCCCTTCAGTCTACTCCTCACTTCACCCCTTCAGTCTACTCCTCACCTCACCCCTTCATTCTACTCCTCACCTCACCCTTCAGTCTACTCCTCAACTCACCCCTTCAGTCTTCTCCTCACCTCACCCCTTCAGTCTACTCACCTCACCCCTTCAGTCTCCTCCACACCTCACCCTTCAGTCTACTCCTCACTTCACCCCTTCAGTCTCCTCCTCACTTCACCCCTTCAGTCTCCTCCTCACTTCACCCCTTCAGTCTCCTCCTCACTTCACCCCTTCAGTCTCTTCCTCACCTCACCCCTTCAGTCTCTTCCTCACCTCACCCCTTCAGTCTCCTCCTCACCTCACCCCTTCAGTCTCCTCCTCCTCACCTCACCCCTTCAGTCTCCTCTTGCATTACTAACCTACTAAGTGACATATCGGCATGGATGTCACTCCACTTCCTCAAACTCAATGTTTCCAAAACTGAGCTCATACTATTCCCCCCAGCCCGTGCCCCCTCCCCTGACTTCTCCTTCAAGATCAATAATACAACCATCAGTCCTTCCCCTCATGCCAGGGTACTAGGTGTAACCCTAGACTCCCATCTGTCCTTTCACCCCCAAATCCAATCACTGTCCAAATCTTGTAGACTTCACCTCCGCAACAACTCCAAGATACGCTCGTTCCTAACCTCGGAAACCACTAAGCAACTTATTCACTCCCTGGTTATATCTCTCCTCGACTATTGTAAACTCCCTCCTGATTGGCCGACCTCATTGCAGGCTATCCCCTCTTCAGTCTATCATGAATGCTGCTGCCAGACTCATCCACCTTACTAACCGTTCTGTATCTGCCACCCCTCTCTGCCAATCCCTCCACTGGCCTCCACTCAGTGTCCTCCATCCCTTTCTGCCAATCCCTCCACTGGCCTCCACTCAGTGTCCTCCATCCCTCTCTGCCAATCCCTCCACTGGCCTCCACTCAGTGTCCTCCACCCCTCTCTGCCAATCCCTCCACTGGCCTCCACTCAGTGTCCTCCATCCCTTTCTGCCAATCCCTCCACTGGCCTCCACTCAGTGTCCTCCATCCCTCTCTGCCAATCCCTCCACTGGCCTCCACTCAGTGTCATCCACCCCTCTCTGCCAATCCCTCCACTGGCCTCCACCCCTCTCTGCCAATCCCTCCACTGGCTTCCATCCCTCTCTGCCAATCCCTCCACTGGCTTCCCATTGCCCAATGAATACAATTCAAAACATTAACAATAACATATAAAGCCATTTATAACTCTGCCCCAAATTACATCACCAATCTGGGCTTCAAATATCACCCAAACCGTCCTCTCTGCTCCTCCCACAACCTCCTGCTCTCTAGCTCCCTTGTCTCCTCCTCCCATGCTCATCTCAAAAACTTCTCCAGAGCTTCCCCCATCCTCTGAAACTCTCTACCCTAATTTATCAGACTATCACCTACTCTGCCCACTTTTAGGCGATCTCTGAAAACCTATCTCTTCAGGGAAGCCTATCCTGCCCTCAGCTAATAATGGAATCTTCTACTCCTCCTACCAGTCCATCCCCCACAGTTATTAGCTTTTGTACCACTAGCCCCCCCCCCTCTTAGATTGTAAGCTCCAAGGATCAGGGCCCTCCTAACCCTCTTGTATTGAACTGTATTGTTGCTGTATTGTCTCCCGTTATATTGTAAAGCGCTGAGCAAACTGTTGGCGCTATATAAATACTGTATTATAATAATTACATATATATACTATATATATATAGATATTTATTTATTTTATTTTTTTGTTACAGTGCAGGAAGAAAAAGTAATTGTTGGGAGTGAAAGTCTGCTACGAGCACATTGGCAACTGTTGTGACCAGTGGTGTGCCTTGATTGTAGCATACACTGTGCATGTGCAGATCCCTCACCTGTGCCAGCATCTTCTGCCTGGCTCTTTACAGCTGCCAGGTCTTCGATGTTTTGATTGGCCAATACGGGATGATGTAACCCGCTGCGCATGCTCAGGCATTCACACATCCTGGCACATAGACACCGTGCCAAGTATGTTCCTGCAGCTGCACATGCACAGGACAGTGTACACTATAAAGAAAACTGTAAATCTGAAGGTAAGTTCATTTTATTGCAGAAGAGGCATACAGTAGCTTGTCCGTTCTGAAAGGAACCATGGGGTCAATCCAAAATTTATTAAACAACATTCTGGCTTTCAAAAGTCAGAATTCTGAGTTCAAAGTCAAAATTCTGAAATTAAAAAAATAAAAGCTTACATCAGACTTCTAAATTTCAAAGATGGAGTTATAAAATTTAAAGTCAGAATTCTGAGTTTCAAAGTGAAAATTCTAACATTTATAGTCAGAATTCGAAGAGATTACATTTCAGAATTCTGACTTTTAAAGTCAGAATTCTGACAATAAAAAAATTACAAATTCTGAGTTTCAGAATTATGAGATTGAAAATCAGAATTCTGGGTTTCAAAGTCAGAATTCTGAGTTTTAAGAAGTCATCATTCTGAGAATAATAGTCATAGTTCTGAGCTTCAAACTCAGAATTGTGAAATTTAAAGTTAGCATTCTGAGATTAATAGTCATATATACAGTATATAATAAATTCTGGGTTTCAAAGTAAAAACTCCTAGATTAAAAATCAGAATTCTACGTTTCAGAGTCAGAATTCTGAAAAAGTTAAAACTCTGAGATTAATAGTGAGGATTCTGAATTTTAACATAAGAATTTTGAGATAAAAAAAAAAACACAATATATGACTCTCAAAGTGAAAATTCTGAATTTTAAAGTGAAAATTCTGACAGTTACAGTATAGTCAGAATTCTGAAATTTAAAGTAAGAATTCTGAAATGTAAAGTCAGGATTATAACATTTAAAAAAATAAATATTTTGAGTTTCAAAATCAGAATTATGAGATTCAAAGTCAGAATTCTGACTATGCCCAGTTTAGTGTGTATTGCTAGGGAGTTTGTTTTTCTTTGGGAGGGTGCATGTGATCAGCACAGGGCCAATCAACGCTGTTCAGATAGAGGGTCATGCACCCTCATAGGACAGTCAGAACAAAATGAAAACTCCGCCTACAAGATTAACCAGTGCTCTGCTGGACACTGATAGAAGTCACAAGACTGCTGTAACTGCTGA